AGTCTAGCTGTGTGACCTTGGGCAATTCACTTGGTTTCTCTGAGACTGTTTCCACCAATTAGGAAAAAAAGAAATTGAATTAGTACTTTAAGATTCCTTCCTTCCAGTTCTAGGATTCTGTGAAGTCTATACCACCCAGTAAATAACCATGTTCATCTGAAGAGTAAATACCTCACTATATTGCAAAAACATGTTCTACTTAGTCATCTTTGAAAAAAATATTTAAATAAAGACATTAACAACTTATAGATTCTAGCGACAGTCAACTCCTCCAGGTATAACAAAGAATATTAAAACACATACTCTATCATTTAGTGTAACCTTGAAACCAGGTGACTAATGCAACCTGATTTAAAAACATGCTCTGGAATTTGGGGAATGCAGAGAAACAACAGAGTAAGCAGAATAATTTGGCTAAAGGGATACATTTTGTAAAAATCAAAATGACTTGCTTAGTTAATATGGTAAAGAAGCCAAGTTCATAAAGGTGTCTCCAAAAATAAATGAACTCCAATGTGGGAAGGGCTACAGCTAGCTTTCTCTCTCACACGCACAGAGTACCCATTACCACTGATTCATAACACAAATCTGTACTGTCTATTATTACCAGGTATTAACACAATCTGCAGGAGGTATCTTTAAGGGCAACAGAGATAATAGCAAATACAATTATTACCTAATCTTTAGGTAGAAGCTCTTTTTTAAAACTTTGCTATAGGGTTTCCTAGCAAATTGTATAGGGGAATGGTCACACCGCAATCCCTTCTCCTCCATTACTCACTCCTGTTGGGATTTCAGGCATGCAAGCATATTTACCAGCATGTTTTTTGCCACTGGATCTGGGATTCAAATGCACAAACAACCATGTGGGATCCAGCTGCCTTAACCACCATGCCACTGGCTGGCCCTAGGAATAAGCACGACGGTCAATCTTTCCAATCTCCCTGCCTTCTCTAGCCAGCAACATGCTTTTTCCTATGTTACTAACAGTACCTCAAAATTAATTTGTGTTAATACTCCTTTCCGTGTTATTTCAATGACAGTACCTGTCACTTAGAGTCTGGGAGAGGCGTAAAGAATCTGCCCACTATTTATAACACTGTTCCTAAACATTTTCTCCAATCCTCTGTCTCTCAGGTCTGGTAGCAACTAGGAAATCTGGTGACTGAGAAAAACTTTTTTTTTTAAAGAACTATTTTATTTAAATATTTAAACAAACTTTAACCAGAGAGGAACAGAGCCAGAGAGCAAGAGAAAAAGTGAGAAAGTCGTCAGGTCCAGGACCTAAACTGTGGTTGGCCACGTGGGAGTTCAGCACCCTTCACCACGCCACCTGCCAGCCCCGCTAGGAACATTTTTAACTCAAATGAGAAAAACTAACTCCAGCACAACTGAGTCAAAGGTCTGCACACTTAGGACATTAGCAAGTCAAATATTCTGATTACTTAACAAACAGATGTTGAACAGCTACTATATACCAAGCACTGGACCAGGAAAAGGCCTTGGGGGTATAAAGATGAGTAAGAACCCCTAATCTCTAGGAAATTAAGAGAATGATGCAAGAATCAGACATGAGACCTGTAGGGTGGGGTGGTGATGGAGCACACATCATTCTACAAGGCTGACCCACATTGAAAGATTCCAGGTTCAGTTCAGAGACCTCCTTTGAGTATGCCAGCCACGCACATGCCTGCAATCCAGGGCAGGCTGGAGCTACGGGGTGGACCATGGCATCAAGACCCTGTCCAAGGGTGCTATCCGAGGGTGCTGTCTTTCTCTCTGTTGCTCATGGAATAAATAAACAAACAAAGGTAAAATTATATATATACACAGATATATATATATATGTATATGTATATACATACACACACACACACATATATATAAACAATCAGGAATGTGAACAAAAAATTACAATACAATTTAGTGACAGACCATGGCATCAAGACCCTGTCCAAGGGTGCTATCCGAGGGTGCTGTCTTTCTCTCTGTTGCTCATGGAATAAATAAACAAACAAAGGTAAAATTATATATATACACAGATATATATATATGTATATGTATATACATACACACACACACACATATATATAAACAATCAGGATTGTGAACAAAAAATTACAATACAATTTAGTGATAGATGAGATATGAAAGTACTGTAGTAACACACCAAGGACAAGAACAACTCTAACTTGCTCTGCCTAAAGGAAGACATCATAGAAACAGTACAGGAGTTTGGATGTTAAAAGAGTTCGAGATGGGCCGGCCTAAGGCCTAGAGATTGGAGCAGCTGGATCCCACAAGGCTTTCTCCCTCTCCCAGACTCTAAATGACCAGTACTATAATTGAAATAACATAGAAAGGAATATTAACACAAATTAACTTTGAGGTAGTTAGTAACATAAGAAAAAGCATGTTGCTGGTTAGAGAAAATAGGGAAACTGCAGTTCAAATCCCTGATCTGGCAGCTTGAGAAAAAAAACCTGCTTGTGTGTGCACGTGCACATACACAAGCCCAAAATCCAAAAAAGAGGGATAAATGGAGGATAAGGCGTTTAGGTGTGACTGTCCCCATGAGGGATGCTTTCTTGCTCTCTCTCTCTGTCTCAGTTAAGCACGTGTGCCTATGACAAACTATAATAAATAATAAATAGTTAAAAGATAAAAAGAATTGGAGGCTTATCACTTGAGTTATGTTTGAATAGTCTTAGCAAGAGGGAAAAGAAGAACTGAGTTGTTATAAGATGCTCCGATGCTCACAATGGCTGATTTGGGTGAAGCACCTAGAGCTGAGTCTAGGCTCAAAGAGATTAATTAGGTCCAAATTGTGAAGGCTTTGAAGGACATGCCAGGCAGCTGGACTTTGGGAACAGGCATCCAAAACAAATTTTTAAGCATGAGAGTGACTCAGTCAGATATGATTTTGGGTAAAGAGGAGGCTGAGCAGGGGGAGTCAAGTGGTAGATATTTACCCCCCCCCTAAAAAAATCAAGGTGAGAGATGATGATGGCCTGAACTAAAACACTACCACCTAGCAAAAAAGTGCCAAATCTCAGATATTCCATTTCCAGTCTCCGTAACAGGACCTGGAGACTGGAAATGGAAAATAAAGAAGATAGAAAATAGCTTTAAATGACTAAATGCGTGTGTGAGGTAGAATTTCCATTCATTAAAATATTAAGGGAGGGATGTCTGGCTTAATTACAGTTTCTCAAGCATAATAATCTTTGTTTATACCTTTATTGAAAATCTTCCTAAATAAAATTTTTTGCTAAGTGCATTAATCGTGAAATTTTTTCCTATATAAGAATCACCATAAATGTCAGTTATCACTCTACAGTACAAAGTTTAGATAATGCTAGAACTCAACCTCTCCCAAGGGACATCTGATAACTTGTTTTTGGAATAAAAACCTAATTATCAGATGGTTTTCTTGTCATTGTCCTCCTTCTTAGTCAACAGAGTATAAACTATGCAACTACCTGATTTTTCCGAGCAGCAGAACATGGTAATAACACAAGACTCTTTCCTAGCTGAACTAAACTTACATTGAGCTATATTCCTTCCTGATCTTTTTTTTTTTTTTTTTTCTTTGAGAGGTTTTGCTTTAGGGCATTTGCACTCGCCAGAGAGACAGAAAGAGAGAAATCTCCTCTCCGGATCTCAGGCACGCATGAACACGTGCCCGGGACTCAAACTGCAGTAGACACATGGGAGTCCAGCGACATAACCATTATGCCAACTGCTGGTCCCCCTTCCTGATCTTTTTAACTGAAGATGGAACACAAGGTGGTTAAGGGCTTAAATTATTAGTGAATATGTACAATCTCACATTCAAAAAAAATCATACTTTAGGTCACCTAAATTAATGTGACCTATTGACTTTCTAGTCAGTCTTTATTGGAGGGCACTTCAAGTACAATGTCTTCTCCCAACAAACCTAACTCAGGAGACTCTGCCAACAGGTTCAACTTCTGTTATCTTTCTTATGTCTCATTTAAGCTCTCAAGACAAAATCTGTTTTTAGTAATGCATACCTTCCCTTGACTAGGAAAGGTGATGAGGTATTTTTATCTAAGTTGTCTTGCTGAGCTGCACAAACATAAAAATAAAATAAGTAAAAGCAAGTGAGGGATGCTAACACTGTTCATTAAAGGGCTATAATTATCAACTACCCAGTCTGATACAGGCAATGTTCTTAGATGAGTCACAGATAATTGCATGAGAATTTCCAATTTTAAGGTTCACTGCAAAAGCTCTTAAAACTGAAACTACTATTCTAAGATCCCTCCCACCTTCCCCATTGAGAAAGTAGGAAGTAATTACTAGGTTTGTTTTTAATTTCCTTAATACTGCTAGAAGTAAACAGTTTAATCAACAAGCAAAACCAAATGTAAATCCAAATTAGCAAAAACAAGTCGTCTTTTTCAATGCACCTCAACCTTTCACAACAAAACACCTCTGCAGTATGAATGCCAGCAAAAAGAACAGGATTCAATATCTTCCTGGAATACTAATTACACTCAACTTTCCCTTCATCCAAGCTAAGCTGAGAAGCTAAACCTGTGCCTTCCGTCGTTTGTGAATCCCATAAAACTATACTAAAGTTTTCCATTTTTTTAAAGGAGCTACCTCGAAAACCCAAAACCACCTCCTTCCCACACAGAAACAAACAAGAGTATACCCAATTATTACACACACAAATACTAGGCCAGGCAGGCAGAACACAGTGCCAAAAATAGAGCACCAAAAGATGTTTGCCTGCAACTGAAGATTCTCTAGTAGGCAACTGGTCAGAATCCAGCTTTCACGTTAAGAGAAACCCTAACTTTCTGGGTTCAAAATCAATATAAAGCAAAGTGATCCCTCCGACGTCCGGTTCGGTGGCGAATGACCTCTGTGTGGAAAAGGAGGCCCCTAGCCTCGGCCTCCTACCCGTCTAGCTGAGGAAGTGGAGAGCTGCCCGGGAAGAGGGGCCTGGGCAGCCACGTCCTACTCACCCCAGGGGGCAGCGGGAACGGAGGAGGCAGGGAGAGCACGACATTCCCGCCCACGGCTTGGCCTCGGACAAGCGTCAAGGACCCCGGGGACTCAGGGGTGGGGACCGGCCCCTCTCCCAGACCCTCGGGGTCTACTCACTCCGCAAGAGACCAGCAAGAAAGCCATTCGCCAAGGCTCCCACCCTCTGTGCCTCCTGGGGAGGGAGCCCGGGGATGCTCCGGTGTGCCCCCGTTTCTCCCCCCTCGGTCGGATCGCGGGTAGGCGCAGACAGTCCAGGCAGAGCCCCAGCATGAGTTTTAAGCTGCCTGGTCCAGGACTCAAATCACAGTAACCCATGTGAGAATTCAGTGATGTAACCATTACACTATATACTGGTCCCAAGACTTTTTAAATTTTTAGTTATATATACATTCAATCACTGTACATCATAACAGCATGAAAATGAATTTTCTTAGCATAAATATACTGCACACCAGTATATTTAAAGATATTATCATAAATGTTTTCATCAACAATCGTCCATTTCCATATTACTTAAATATCTTGCCTCTATATTTTTCTCCTTGATTCCCTTCCTCTCACCTTCCCCTACCTTCCACCCTCTTCCCACATTGTCTCCACTATCTGTGACCTTTTGCTCTACTTCCCTCATCACAGTATCACCATATCAGCCCAGTCCCCCGCTGCAGTCATTATTCTTGTAACTATTCCACATGTATCTGACCATATTTGTTTTCATATGGTCCAACAGATGAGGTAGGCCATTTTTCTCACTTTCTTTTGCAGCAGTTTTTTTTTTAATTGTTATTTTTTGGCTTTTCATTTTGATCTCTAATGGCAAAGCAAGCTTTTTAAATTATCTAAGCAATGGTGGGGAAGGGTACATCACATGACCAATGGATACATAAGGCCATGCAAAATGATAAACTTTAACATTCCTTCCAAGTAAATCTAAAAATACAGGAGAAGAAGGAGGAGGAGGAGAAGAAAGAGGAGAAAAGAAGAGGAAGAGGGAAGAAGAAGTAGGAGGATGTCAAACAGTAGGGTTGATTTTTTTTTTAAAAAAAGGAAAAAAATCCAATTTTTATGTTTGGAAGAATGCAATGAAGAGTAGAAATAAAAAGATTTCAAACTCACTGTACAGAAGTGAAGATCTCATGCAGATAATTGGCTCTAGAGAAGGGCAATGACTCACACACTCACAAATATATTCAGACTCATAAGTCAGGATATAATTATAAAGAGATGTGGTAATATCTGTTGAAGATATTCTACAGTTTTATCAACTGAACTAGGAAGAAATGTTCACATGTCGAAATATTCACTTTGTAAGAGAAATAATGTGATTGATTGTATAAGAAATTAAAAGAAAAACAAGAAAATAATTTAAAAAAGAGAAATGCTTGTTATGACACCCCTTGTCACCTATTAAATGAACATTTACTTTTCATCTGAATACCCAATATGAGAAAGATAATGCAAAATATATGGCTCATGATATGCTGTTGCAAGATAGTATTGTCAAGCAATCCATTGGTCTGGATCTTTTTTTCCCTCTTTGGCTAGAGGGCATATGTGATTACCAGAGAGAGAAATGAAAACAGAGGGAAAGTGAAAAAGCATTTTATCCCATAGGCAGACAGCCCTTTCTCCTCCATCTCTTTTCTCTTTAAAGATTTTAGGTGCACACACACACCCAACATGCTTCTCAAGTCACCCATAAGAGGACTTGAACTGTGCAGGCAGCCATGTGGGATTCTGCTGCCTTTCCCGCCAGGCCATAAATCCAATCCAGTCTGGGCCATTTTAATAACTACAGAAACATACTCAAATAAATACACCCAATAATATTGTTTTTAAACAATCAAAATCTTAACCACACTTCATGTTCCTCCAAACTTAATACTCTATTTTCACTGTCTCTTTAACTGCAAAACTCCATGTATATAATTTTATTTTACTAGCAGCATTCATACTTCCCATTCTTTCTCATCAATTACACTTTCATTTCCATCACTTAATTGTCAAGCATTATTCCTGCCTCATTGAGTCTAACCAACATTTGCTATTTTAGTATTTGAAATAAATAATTTCTACATTAATTATTCAACCAAGATACGACAAGCATGGCAAACTCTCAGGTCTGAGCTGGGTTGCATTTGGTTCTCTGGTGATCTCAGGTAAACTTTTGTAGCTACTGTCCTCTCCAAACCCTTCCTGCAGTATCTACTGGGCACTTTCAGTCTTACCTGGATAGAGTCTCTGAAAGGAAGAGCACCATGGAAAAGTCTGAATTCTGCCCTGAATGGTTGATGATGGAGACTAAAGGTCTGTTCCTGAATGACAGTAGAAATGAGGTAAGCATTGGTTTCAAGCCAGTCTCAGGACTCTAAAAGAAACAATCATACCCACCAGTCCAAGGCTGATCCCTCTCATGGAAAATAACAGAAGAGACCTTTACAACTCCCTCTGTCCTCTAATTTGGCACATTTTCATCTTGTCAATTCAACTCTGAGCACCTGATTTCCCTGTTGGGTACTTGGTCAAGGCAGAAAGGAAATGTTTTCTATTGATTTTCTGTTCCCCTTGGAAGCATGTTAGAAATAAAATGAATCAAGTCTATTATTTCTTCTCCATGAACTTTGCAGACTTCCAGAGGTACACCACTGGGATTTTTAAAAATAATTATTTGTTTAATTTTATTATTATTATTTTTTTTTCTTTTTATTTATTTTTTATTTTATTATCATCATAATCTTCTTTCTATTACACTAGATTACATATAACTTTACATTGACTTCCATTGCTTTTTCAAAAGGGAATGCCATGCATGTCAGTCAATGCAGAGATATCAATCTCCCCGCTTTATCATTCAATATCTTTTCCATGCTTTTCCCAATAATTATTATTATAATTTTTTTAAACAG